TCAGTCTTGCCATGTTGTTCAAGACGGATTGCATCCTTAACTTCACAACGAGTATTTGCGTCCACAGCCATATCTGTGCCGCTAGAAGTTGCCATGAGGTTAAGAGTTCAATCAGCTTAATTCAACATTTATATGTAACATTTAGCTTAGCAAATATATAAAATACGATAATGATAATAATAATAATAATGTGGAAATTGAAAACAAGAATAATACCAGTCATAGTAGGTGCGCTTTGAATGACAAAAAAGGAGCACAACACAATGAAAAAGTCCCTGGTGATCCCAGCTTAAGAGAAATACAAAAAAAAATGTCTTGATAAGTCCAGCCCACACAAAAAGGACTTTGTCCATGTAACGCTAGTTAAAGTTAAAAAAAAATGAATCATGAAATGTAGCCATAACAATACACAACTACATGCCTTAGGTATTTCTGCAGATTTGGTAGGTAGTGTGAACATAGTAAAAATCGAAATATAATAATAATAATAATAATAATAATAACAGAAACAGAATGTGCTTTTTTATTGATATGGCAGTCCCTGCAGATTTTAATGTATCTTTGAAGATCTTAAAAACTATCAAAATACAAGGATCTTGAAGTGGAAATCTAAAAATATGGCACATGAGGACATTAATAATTCCAGTTGTACTTGGGGCCCTCGGATTGATTGAAAAAGGTTTCAATAGACTCATTGAAGAGATTCCCGGCAGCCCATGCCTTAAAGAAATATAAAAATTTTTACTCACACGTACAACTCAAACCTTACGAAGAGTCTTATCTATATAAAAATGTGTGTGATCTTAGTTGCCGCGTTTTATTGTTTATTTTTTTTTTTTTTTTTTTTCATGATTAGTGGAAAATATCATGATGCTATTTCTGATCTTACGCCTCTGGATGGGACCCGGAAGGAAATGAGTAGACAAAAAAATCAAATGAAGTACTATTACTACTACTACTACTACTACTACTACTAATAATAATAATAATAATAATAATAATAATAATAATTTATAAATTCAATCCTTGCTGAAGACAATAGAAAAGTGGAATTAGAATAAATGACTAGCTCTATAGGAAAATGATTGTATAAAACTTCTTTGTAATTTCACTGTGCGATATGGTAATGTCATTGAAGCAAGAAAGTCAGGCATAGCTACTGTCGAGAAGGAAGACAAACAGCGTTGGATCATCAATGTAGCCATACCATGATACATAAGCGGGGTTACGAAAGAAAAATCTAGTGGAAAAGCGTCAAGAATTGAAACATGACGTTATACTCTTGAGGTGGCTTAAGAAAATAGAAGGTTTTTCTGTTTTTTTTTTTGTGGACACCCTTTCAACGATAACATACTCCAAAAATGACTTGATAAAATCGGGACTGTAATTGCAAGTGAGATGTTTCAGAAAATAGTATTGCGAGGGACAGGCAGAATTCTTGAAAGTTGTTTTTTTTGGGGGGTCTTCTTTTTTGTTATAATTTTAGAGGGGTGAATAAATTACAGAACCCGTAGCTAGTTGTTATTGTCCCGTTCCTGATCGTTAAATACCGACAGAGTATCTGCTTGAGATAGCGGTAAAATCGGTGGCATCTTTCATTTTGGGAATGTTACGTCTTGAAAATAAACTGAGACCTCATCTGAAAACAAAGACACGTCAATGTCTTTTATAATAAAATGAGAACTTAATGGATACTCGGAATCGGTTTTACATTGTACATAAAATCAAACCCTGTCCGTGTTCCAAACTTATAGGTAATACAATTTGAGGTGTGTTTTAAACTTTCTTTATCATTCATAATGACGTGAAATAAAGATAGACTAGGGGCTCGGATAACGCGTTAGGATTATTATAATCCGTAGATTTGGTGGAAATCACCTGGAAGCTCCCGGTCGGCATTTGGCAACTACTCCATCATAGACTCTACTCTAGACTTCTGTTCTTCTACAATCTTTGCCTAAACAAAAACTAAATGTAACATAACAAAATTATAATAAATAATCCCACTCAAAAATGATACAAGAAAGAATTGTTGAAAAAACAAGGAAGCAAATTGAGCAAAAGCATAAATACTTAAACGTTATCCACAGGTGCTCGGGGCCTTTTCTAAACTAAACAAGATTGATTCGTTTTCTACGGTTTATCAACCTTTACAGGATATTTAAAGCCAGAAAATATTTTTAGATTGTAAGATTTTTTTCTAGATAATAATAGTTCAGTGCTACAGGTCTTACTAATTTACCCATAGCTGGGGGTAGAGAAGGAGGCGGATCCATACTTTGAACAAGTATATTTGCGCGTAAGTGGATATAACGAATCCAACAGGAATTGGAACTCGAATATTCGATTATCAATTCTGAGCCATTATCCATTACACCACCTGAACGCACACCCAAGTTTACTGCACCTGATATTCCTAAACAGTCACCCATCTAGACACGGACCAAGCTCGACGTTGCTTAACTTCGGTGATCGTGCGGGGGACACGGTGTTACAACTTGATATGTCCGTAAGTAAATTAAAGAAGAAAATAACTGAGAAATTTGGATCAAAGAACAAGAAAGTCTGTAAGCAGACTTTGCGTCTGAAATAATGGCATTCATACTTTTTTTTATGTGCAATAGAAAGAAGGTGGGATAGGATTGAGACGATTTGACTGTAAATATAAATTGCGGATTAAAAAAAGTAAAGACTGAAAGATTGATTATAGCATACAAGGTTTGCAGTCGAAACGACAAGCGAACAACTTTGAAATCCGAATAATTAAAAGAAAAGATACCAAAGTTGGAATGAAAAACAAATCAAGAGGCAGTTCAAAAGACAATTCTTTATTTAAACATGTTAATAGCAGCTTAGAGTTATTCTATAAGAGCCAATTATGTTGCGACCAAAATAAACAGAAAATAATAAAGCAGATGACACGGAGAAAAAGACGACTGAAACCTTCCTTCAAGCGAATACAAGAAATTGCCTCTGAAGAATTCCAAAAATAGACATGACTAGGTAAGAATAAAAAGTGGGCCAACAACACTAATTGCTATGACAAAAAAATATGGTAAATGTCCAAACATCAATTTCTCAGGGAATTCAAAGAGATCATCCAATCGAGACAAAAAGATGGAGTTTTTGCAAAGAACACTTTTCAGATGGGTGACGCCGATGTTTCATCAGAAAAGAAAAAAAAAAACTAAAATTAAAAGAAAGTCATAAGCTGAACAAATCTTGGAACGTAACATGAGGAATGAAAGTAAGGATTATACTGGGACGCTTGAGACAGTCGCTAAAAAATCGTGCAAAGAGGTTGGAAGAATTGAAAATCCACAGATGAATTAAATCCATGCAAACGACATTACGAAATGACTAGAAAACTGAGAAGAACGTTGACGCATAGAGAAGAGAGGCTGTCTCTCTTGATCTACAGTGAAAAACCTCCATTTACTTCTGGTGAGAAAAAAGCGAACGATGCTCATAAAAAAAAAATTTAAACGAAGAAAATAGCGTTTGAAAAGATGAGGCAACTTTAGAACTTCTGTTTCTTTGCTCAGTTGGAGATGTTGATGCAAATGGGATTTTATTTTGCAAAGAGTTAAGTGAATTAGTTGTGTAACAGGTCAGACAAAATTTAATACACGTCACGCCATGAACCCTATGATAAGAGAGAAAAAGAGGAAAAAGAAAGAAAGAGAGGGAGAGATAGATGAAGAGAGGGTGTGTGCCTGTGTTTTATATGTATTTACGTGCGTGTGTGTGTTAGCCGTCGATAATAAATAAAATTTGCCCGACTGACCACACACACGCGCGTGAGCGCACAGAGAGAGAGAGAGAGAGAGAGAGGAAGATGGTCGGAAAGCGGAAATGTGGGAATACATTAAGATCTGATGTGTTTATTTACTGAGATTCAGTGCGAGAAGAGGAAACGGCTATGAAGAGGGAGGGATATATATATATATATATATATATATATATATATATATATATATATATATATATATATATATATAAATAAAAAAAAAAACAGACAGATTAAGAATCCACAGTTCTTTAGTAATGAATTTTTTTTTTTTAAAAAAGTGCTTAATACAACGTAGGACATAATATTTTAATAATATTTATATTTTAAAAAATTAAAATGACAGTTCATCTAGACTTGTATGAATTAAAAAAACAAAAAACAAAAAAAAACATACCCCTAAGCTCCAAACTAGTTTTTTCACTTTTCTGCTTTAGCCTTAACCTTTTTTATTGATTGGTCAACCTGGACACACCCATAAAATTCTGAAATCTTGTCCCCCATTCTTTTTAACTCCTTAATAAGCTACCGTGATGTTTTCTGTTTTCAAAAGAAAATCATTTTCATAAAAAGTTACCTAACCCTGCCTGATGAAGGAACAAATTTCAAGTTCCGAAACATAGAAATTTTCGTCTATATTTCTGAGATGAGGTATTATATACACTATTTACATTATTCGGACTATTGTCCTCATCTTTGTCGCCATATTTATTGGATTGGATTAAGTCAAATATCCGGCCTGAGTCACGAAATCATCGATGCCATCTTTCACGCAGAAAGAAACCTCAGTTATTGTCCTTTATGTCAATTTTGTAAACATATCATCACTGAGAGTATTTTTACACTCCCGGCATGCACATCGTGATCAGACCTCCCCCTCCGACTTATGGCATTACAAATATTATATATTTATTTTTTTTGCAACAAATACATGATATAATGGAATATGTGTACACCTGTGTTCCCCCTCACTGGAATATGATTGGCTGGTGTCCGTCATAAATACCGACGGACGTGTAGGAGAGTCAAGAGCCTTAGTCTGAGAGCTAAGTCTATAACGACGCCCATTGGACTACGCCATTGATCTACACTTCTTACCTGCGACTACGACGCGTACCAGTCGATTACTGCTACCGTATTCTACTTGGTTATAGTAGGCAAAACCACTTAGCTACTTCGTTCAAATATATCCCTTTCCAGGACATATCACTGAGATAGATAGATAGATAGATAGATAGATAGATAGATAGATATGAAGACTGAGTGATATAATGGAATATGCGTACACCTGTGTTCCCCCTCACTGGAATATGATTGGCTGGTGTCCGTCATAAATACAGACGGACGTGTAGGAGAGTCAAGAGAGCCTTAGTCTGAGAGCTAAGTCTATAACGACTCCCATTGGACTACGCCATTGATCTACACTTCTTACCTGCAACTACGACGCGTACCAGTCGATTACTGCTACTGTATTCTACTTGGTTATAGTAGCCAAAACCACTTAGCTACTTCGTTCAAATATATCCCTTTCCGGGACATATCAATATAGAAAAAGGAAATTATGCCGGCGAAACAGGCATGAATATCCGTCTTCGGTTCAATAACCATTAAAAAAACATAAAAGACAACAAAATCAATTTCCTTGTAGCTGCATATTTCAACCAACCGGATCATAGCATTGATAATGTCAGTTATGTGCTTTTAGCATCTTCATATAAAAGCCAACAGGAACTCTGAAAGTCCGAATTAAAATACATTTTTACAACAGGATCATATGTTAAAGGATTACACGCGGATTTAGGCTTCCTCAGAGAATACAATTTCCAGAGAAATCCTTCAACACCCCCACGACCCTAATCGTGGTAAGCTACGACGTTAAAACTATCAAATTTGTTACAATAATACAAAATACGGAAAAAAAAAAACAAGCAGAACAAATTCCTTGGAAGAGTAAATCTCACTACATTATTTATATCGCGTCTCGTTGATAAAGGACACAAGTATGCCCGTATATTCCGATTCTAAAATCTTTTTCTTCATCATTCGGTTTAGTCAAAAGGCTTACTAATAAAAAATAAATACTAGTTTTATAGAAAATATTTTTAACATTTCGTTGTCTTTTTATTCCTCAAATTTAATTAACTGGACTATTAAATCTACATATTATAAGAAGAATACGTAGGCTATCTTTCGATATATATATATATATATATATATATATATATATATATATATAAATATATAGGCCTCTTTCTCTTTACTTCCCTCTCCCTCTTCTTTTTTTTCCTTTTTCCTTTTTCTTTTCTCTCTCCTCCCCTCCCATTTCAATATATCACTTCTGTTAAGTTAACCGTCTAAATAGGTCAAGGTGTGGTCACTCCTTCTCCCACAATACAAAGTATGCTTGAGAGAGATATGAAATTAATCCCTCCCTACCATGTCTCTTTAACTATCCCTCTTACACTCTCTGTTAAATTACAAAAACTTACACTACCCATCAATTTTAATTTCATTTTTCGTTTCATTTCATTTTTTGGAAGTGCTATCTGATGATCCGGCGTCCTGTAAAAGGGCTCTGGTGAAATAAATTATTATAATGGTACCTTAAAGTGGTCTGTTTTTTCTTTTAAATTTATATATATATATATATATATATATATATATATATATATATATATATAAAATTATTTATTTAAAAATTATAACATAAATATGTTATAAAATCACTACAAAAATAGCCATTTTGTTTCAACACCTCCGGTGTCTTATCAAGTGATGATATTAAATGTAAAATAAATGGTTTTAAAAGTTTCAAATTAATGAACGATCCTTCGCAAGGGGAAAACGTTGTTACCAACCATTTATTATGACCTGTGTAAGACAAGGTACTTTTTATTCCCGTTCAGGCAGTTTCTAGTGGATACCCATTTTTTTATCCGATAAATTATTGGAATCAACATCCTAACTTTTGGAATTAACTCTTCTCAGAGATTTGCCAAACATTTCAGGGCGTCAGTTCTAATAAGCCAGAGAATAAGAAGATTATTATAGGTCAGAACTACAGGCAACAATACTTTTGTACTTATTACATGAGTGAATTGGTTTGTAAGAAAAGGGTTTATCCCGACGCTACGGTAATTCGCCATATAAATAGATCCAGACAGAAATACACATACAAATAGGCGTCTGTTCTGTTATACGGGAGGCACGGTAATGGATAGCGGTTCGGATTGATGAATCGGAGAGCCGAGTTCGAATTCCAGTCGAATCCTTTACATTCACTTATGTGCTAATACCCTTGGGAAAGGTATGAATCAATTTCTTCTCCCCCAGCTACGGGCAAATGACATGATAGTTCTATAGGCTTGGATGACAACTGTTCTGCCACAGAAAGAAATATGGCAACCTACTGCAGGAAAAAAAATCTGATTCGTCAGTCATGTATCGAAAGATACATGATCGCCTAAGCATGACACATAACTGACTGACTGCTGTTATAGGTATTTTGATTTTTTTCTAAAACTTTCTTAAAGAATGTTAGTCGGGATGATTCATAAAATAATCTTTTCATATTTCTCATGGAACCTGACTACATATATATATATATATATATATATATATATATATATATGTGTGTGTGTGTGTGTGTGTGTGTGTGTGTGTGTGTGTGTGTGCTTACGAGTCTGTTTATAGAAATGGATCACCCACTTCTGGACTCCCCCATCGAAGGTCGTGAGTCAGAGTAAAAATATTCGGCAGTTCATTTCGTGAGAAAGCTCGCCGATAAATATCACCAGCGAATGTGTTGACAAGGACAATGTCACACTAAAAAAAACGACAGAGTGTGAGAGAGAGAGAGATAGAGAGAGAGAGAGGTGTGGAGGGAGAGAGAGAGAGAGAGAAAGAGGGAAAGAGAGAGAAAGAGATTGGCGGGCAGAGAGAGAGAAACAAAATGAAACTTTTTTCCAAAATCTCATTCGATATTAATTTTGATAGATAATTTACACAACTCTACGTAACCAGAATGTCGAGTTAGGTGCGATTGACGCGGTGAGGATCGCTCCACGGTTGAAAGACGAACGAATTTGTCTCCAGGACTAACACACCATGATTCAAATGATATTCCTTTCTCTGTCAGAATATCTGTGCTACATAATCAGCTTACACGTTTTGCTGTGAATACAGAAAATTATGTATACATACATAATTATTTATAATTATTTTTGTGTATAGCGGTGTAACTGTTCGGATCATGAAAAATGAAATCAGTAAATGAGATCAACGGTTCTTTTCAAATGAATGCTGTTTGAAAAAGCATGCATGAATAGCTCTTCTGCGTTGTTTCCTGGTGCTCCAGATATTAGAGAATGTTTTGTGATTAGCATTCCAAGATAAGTGGGGCAGAATGGGATTTGAACGAATCACTTCCCAATAACTATCCACATAATCACCTTTCACGAGGACTGATAAGATCAGGAAATTGGCATTGATGTAACGTGTTCAGAGAGTGGTCAGGAATACCTATCTCATAAAACACATTATATTAAGTATTACACTCAAAACTAAGGCCACTAAATGTAGTAGAAAAACTGTATATATATATATATATATATATATATATATTGATAATATTAGTGGTCAATACCCCCCCCATATATATATATATATATATATATATATAGCTAAACCTAGAGAGCCAGACAAACCTACCAAGGTTTCGTCTCTGATGCTACCTGGATTTTACTAAAAAGAAAATAATTTCCATGCCTGAGGATGACTGTATGTAAAGTTGAAAGTACTAGTAGATTAAAAAAAAAGACCTTATATACAACTTGTAGTTATTAAAAACAAGGATCATAACATTCATCGAGTGGTTCGCAGGTTAATGCAACTTTAAAATTTTGTTTGCGAAGAGCTTACGCCATTTCATATCATTAACTTTACTCATCTACTTTTTGTATGAATGATTCATTATATATATATATATATATATATATATATATATATATATTTCAAGAGGATAGAATCCAGGTAGAGCTATATGTCCAGGACAGAGCAAGAATATAGAGTGTAACCCGGATATAAGAGACCCGGATATAAGAGAAACCCAGATATAAGAGATTTTCTCTGGTACCAAATTAGAGCCTTACTTACCTAAACAAAATAGACCAAACCCGGATATAAGAGAAACCAGGATATAAGAGACTTCTTCTCCGGTCCCGACAACTCTCTTATATCCGGGTTACACTGTAATATAAAAGGCTCAAACACTAATATTCCATGGTTATTATTTATTACATTGGAATCGTAATCACGATCCAATTCATCTGACCTACAAATTATATATATATATATATATATATATATATATATATATATATATATATATATATATATATATATATGAAGAAGTGTAAGTTTCTGACGGCGCAGGTGGTAGACCTGAAAAACGTCAAGAATACCCCTACCCGCCCTTGTTAAAAAGAACATCGCTACATGTATAAAAGCTAAAATCTCGACACCAAAATAGAATAACAACTGCGTATGTATGCATGCCTGAACGCACGGATGTGTATCTGCACCTAGTCTCAGATTGTTTATATGGATGTGTTTGTGTGAAACATAGTGCGTACACCTGTATGTGTGTGTGTGTGTCTATGCGTACGATAGTATCACCACAAACATAGAAGTGGATTCCCCCTCCCACCACCAAACATAGCCAAACAAGTATAAATAACTCCAGTTTTTTTTAAAATAAACCAGTTTGATGAACGCAAAAGCGTGAAACCCAGGGTCACAAACTCATATTCATACAACTGAATATCGTGGCCTGACGATTGCGTCTAGCATGAAACAGCCTGTCGTATTTAAGTGTTGAAGTCAATGTTTTATATTTACACACGTTCTATCTCTGTTACGGAACACTTTATCCCATAAATATAGCACACCTTAATAGTATATTTCTTCATATGTATATATATACATATATAAGATAACGATATATATTTTTGTTTATCAAGAATAATATTGGGTAAAAATGTATGACAAAGTGTAAAAAGTTTTCTTGTGACGCATTTCGTTGCTTTCGTCCGAAACACACCACAAAAAAAAACTTTTTACACTTTAAGTTGCAATTCTAACGTAGGTATATGTATATTTATTAATATATACTTCTTAGCTCTGTCTAACTACATTGAGCACTGTTTTGTTTACATCTTAAATTAAATTGAGTAAATATTTATTCACTTATCTGTGTATGCACGGCAACGCACGTATATACCGTTGCTAATATCTAGTTATTTCATTTATTCACATTAACCCCCATATATATATATATATATATATATATATATCGTTAAAGACGACTGAAGAGGTACTACGATTAAGCTTTTTATTTAATTTTTATTGTGTTCGTTCAAGTTTTTTTTTTTCTGGGCGCAAAATGTATTAAAGCTGTCCAAAATGTCTGCATATCCGAGCGCTTTCGGCTATTCTCCATTATGAAGGATATTCGGATATGCAGAACTTTTGGGCAGTTTTTACACACTTTTTTTCCAGAAAAGAAAGCACTTTTACGAATAAATAAAAAATGAAATAAAAAGATTAATCGCAGTACTATATCAGACATCTTTAACGAAACATGTATAAAAGAGGGAGTGCTCCCTAAATACACAGTATATATATATATATATATATATATATATATATATATATGATGTCTTTATACTGATAAATTTTTGGTCGAATATTGTTAATGTTGTGAGAGAGATTCTACTCTAGACGAGTTTTAGTTCATATTTATCTATATACATGTCTTTATGTGTGTACGTGTCTTTGTATGTATATGTGTATACAGATGACGTATATGGTATCTGTATGGAGTCCACGACTCTGAACCGTACAAAAGGATGGCAAGGACAACAGAAATGAGTGATTATATATATATATATATATATATATATATATATATATATATTGAGACATATGTCATTGAATAATTTAGACAGGTTTTGTCTACTTGTCAATTGGATCCTTTCATATTCTTTGACAAGCTTTTTTATATCATTATTAAAGAAAGAGAGAAAATTACCGTGTTGATACATATTATTTGTTTCGAGTACTTTCGACATAAGCACAGTCATCATCATCATCATCATTTTTTTCAAGATAAATATTGTAGTGTCCATCATTTCCTATTTGTATAACATTTTTGACGCTAAGGTCTTTCTTATACATGCTGTCATAACGCTTTGTAGACTCTAAATAATCTTTCAGTAAACACCCATCATCATCCTAGGCTTTACTCAAATTGTTTAATTTAACACTCTTTCATTTTTCTCTCGTCGTGACAATGGGAGATTTGGAGTGGGGGGATCACTAGTGAAATAGCCTAGGACCTCGTTTCATCTAAATCCGGCCTTAGATATACATTATCTTGGTGATAAACAAACTGACGAAAAATGAATAAAACATTATTAGTTTTTCAGCCTCAATCAAACTTGCATCGATATGTGTAGGCGAATGTTACATCCGATCCAGAGTAATCAAAATATTTTTTTTCTGATCAATGAAACGTTGCAAGTTTGAAAAAGACGTTTGTAATGTTGGCCGTAATAACTAGGTTCTTCGTCAAGGATATAAATGAACAGAAGTACAGATAGTTGTTTCTCGGTCATGTACCAAAAGACCGTCTTATGCAGCTTCGATAAAATTTGGTATCCAAGTGTGCAATCCTTATCAGTTTTGACACGGCTAAAAAGAATTATCTATCAGTCTTATTTTTTTTTTAAAAAAAGAAAGATAAATGGAACGTTTTTGGCCTTGAAATTTCAATTTGAACTCATAAATGGCAGTCGAAAGAAAATTTGATCAATATACATCCATTTCGGTCAAAGTTAATGAAATTTTTACAGAAAAGCCAACACCGAATCGTCAGTGTTGGGCGTCGCTTTCTCCTCGTATTTCTCAACGGAGGTAGGGAGAGTGGAACGGAAGAAGCACTAGCAACGACCCTCCTAACCATATTTCCCTTTCTCCCGGGTTCCAATTTACGCGTGGTTTCCCTTTCGTATCTAGTTTCCTTGACACACAGTGTCACTCCGTATCGCAAACCTTGTCTGCCAGCTAACATTACGGTGTGATAGCGACTGAGACCCGGCTCACACGTCTGACATTACAGACATGCCATTAAGCAAAACAAACGCCTTCGAACAGTTTGATGGAAGGATTTTAAAAGCTCCTCGCAAAAATCACTTGTGATTCTGCTGAGCGTTATCCGTCACATGACAGATACCTGTGATAAATAAATAATGCAGAATATTTGCTACTGCGCATGTGTAAAAAAAACCCCCAAAAACAAGCAAAAATCTAATGAATAAAAGCTATATGCAGCAGGATTCAAGTGATTAGTTTAATTTGCAGTTTTTGAATAAATCATCTGTTAATAAAATGTATAATTTTTTTCATAATTTAGTTGAAATCTTAAAAGCCCCAAACTGGCAGGACACTGTCTGCTAATAACGCTACAGTTTCTACACGTTGCATCATCATTGATTTGTAATTTTCATCCGCCATTTTTAGTGTCGCTTTTGTTTTTGTCAATGTGAACTCTAATAAAAGTCTGAAAAAGTCACAATATTCTAAGGATTTTAAGAACAAACTTTGAATTATTCGCATAATGCTTCTATTTCTCATGCAAAATTAGGTTTGATCATAAAACTTCTTTTATTTTTACGTATATTTTATTAAGCACCGTGCGTATAAATAGGGTTAGACGGTTTGTCAAGGTTGAATAGAGCGGTAACAGGCATGTGTGTGTGTGTGCGTGCATGAGTGTGAGTTTTGTGTGTGTGTGTGTGTGTGTGTGTGTGTGTGTGTGTGTGTGTGATATGTTCGTGAAGTGGACAATGAAGTCAATACCCAGAGTCTAAACGCAGTCGTCAGACCTGACGATTGCGTTTCAGCAAGAAGCAGATTG